GATCATGGGGTCAGAATTCGAGACCAGCCTGACCAACATGGTGAAACCCCATCTCTACTAAAAACACAAAAATTAACTGGGCATGGTGGCGGGTGCCTGTAATCCCAGCTACTCAGGAGGCTGAGGCAGGAGAATGGCTTGAACCCAGGAGGCGGAAGTTGTGGTGAGCTGAGATCGTGCCATTGCACTCAAGCCTGGGCAACAAAAGCGAAACTCTGACTCAAAAAAAAAAAAAAGAAATGGCAGACAGTTATCAGTATGCCAAAAGCAGGAACTTGATACTTTAGTTTTCCCTGCATATATGTGAATACATTTTATATGTTATCACTTGGGTGTAGTAAGTTATGGCATAAGATGTATCTCAAAATGGCTTCAAAGCTACTTGTCTAGAGATATAAAAAAAATGGAATAATGAAGAGGATTTTAGATGGGTAGAAGCAAACAGTTGCTGCATGATCTACTAAACTACTTTCTAGCACATACTGTAAACTGCCTATCTCTATCACTGAGTAACGTAATGTTTCATAACCCTAACGGAAAGAAAGAATTCTAGATGATGGCTCATGTCCACACACAAGTTCAATCCTAAACTAGCTAGGTTATCAAAATTGGTCTTAAGTAAGCTGGCTTAGTTGATCATCAAGAATAGTATTTCTTCTTCTTGTTTAAGTTAAAAGCAGGAAAGACTACTCCATATGTAAACAACTACTTCCAGGTTTGTAGTTTGAGAGAGAGCTAGTCTAGGTGGAAAGCCCATGATTTCCAAACTCAATGACCACTTCAAAAAGGTTGGGCCTGGTGATGCAATACTGGAACTAAGAGAAAAAAGATGGTGCTAGGTCTATGGAAAAAAAGAAAACAAAAACAGGAGGGACCAGAGTTCTAAAGCACATTTACTGAATACCGACATCTAAGGAATCCAAAGACGATGAATCCAAATATGAAAATAAGCCCAAACATAAAAATAAGGAAGATGCTATCTGTGATGGTTCATTTTATATGTCAACTTGAATCACGTTTTTGGATGAGATTAACATTTAAATTGGTAAACTAGTGGCCAGACATGGTGGCTCATTCCTATAATCCCAGCACTTTGGGAGGCAAAGGCGGGTGGCTTGCTTGAGCCCAGGAGTTTGAGACCAGCCTAGGTAATACTCGAAACCCTATCTCTACAAAAAAAAAAAAATTAGCTGGATGTGGTGGTACATGCCTGTAGTCCCAGCTACTCAGGATGCTGAGGTGAGAGGATGGCTTGAGCCCGGTAGATGGAGGTTGCAGTGAGCTGAGATTGCATCAGTGCATTCCAGCCTAGATGACAAAGCGAGACTGTCTCAAAAAAAAAAAAAAAATTGCCCCCATAACATAGGTGGGCTTCAATCAATCAGTTTAAGGCTCAAACACAACAAAATCCAAGAAGCAGTTCTCTAGCAGACTGCCTCCAGACTGAAACTGCACCATCCACTCTCCTGGGTCTCCAGGCTGCTAGCCATTGGACTGAAATTGCAATATTGGCTCTCCTAGGTCTCCAACCTGCCAACCCACACAGCAGATTCTGGACTTGCCAGCCTCTATAACTGCATGAGTGGAGTCCTTATAACAAATCTTCCTGGGCTGGGCACTATGGCTCATTCCTGTAATCCCAGCACTTTTGGGAGGACAAGGCAGGGGGATCCCATCTCTACTAAAAGTCCAAAACACTAGCTGGGCATGGTGGTGTGAGCCTGAGTCCCTGCTACTCAGGTGAGGTGGGAGGATAGCTTAAGCCCAGTTGATCAAAACTGAAATGAATTATTATCATGCTGCTGTACTCCAGCCTGGGCAACAGAATGAGACCCTATCTCAATACACACACACACACACACACACACACACACACACACACACCCTCTTGTTTCTTTTTCTCTGGAGAACCCTAATATATAATCAGAGGTTTGAAAATCTATAGGATGTTTAAAGGGAGGTCACATCCACTGACAGCGATTAAGAAAAATTCCACTTTGGGAGGCTGAGGCAGGCATATCACTTGAGCCTAGGAGTGAAGACAAGCCTGGGAAACACAGTGAGACCCCATGTCTAAAACACTTTTTTTAATTAAAAAAAAAAAAAAGCCGGGCGCAGTGGCTCACGTCTGTAATCCCAGCACTTTGGGAAGCCGAGGTGGGCGGATCAAGATGTCAAGAGATAGAGATCATCCTGGTCAACATGGCGAAACCCTGTCTCTACTAAAAATACAAAAATTAGCTGGGCGTGGTGGCTACTTAGGAGGCTAAGGCAGGAGAATCACTTGAACCCGGGAGGCAGAGGGTGCAGTGAGCCAAGATCGCACCACCGCATTCCAGTCTGGCGAAAGAGTGAGACTCTGTCTCAAAAAAAAAAAAAAAAAAAATTAATGAACACATTATATTCATTCATTCATTTATATATGTCATAAACATATATATGAGCATCCACTCAGAGCCAGGGACTATTGTTAGTACTGGAAATATAGCAGCAAACTATATGGACACAGTTCCATTGTGGAGTTTACGTTTTAAAGGTGACTGTGCAATGCACATTATAACATCAGGTAGTGCTAGGAGCTACAAAGCATAATAAAGTAGGATGGGATAAAAATACAGGTGATGCAAGGAAGGCAAGAGTAATCAGAATACTATTTTGGATCGGGATGCCCTCTCTGAAGGGAAGGTGACATTTGAGAAAATAACTGAAGGTAATAAGCTAAGCAAACGTGTGAGTAGAGCCCAGGGCAAAAGAAACACCTAATGAAAAGGGAGTGAGGTACATGCTGGAGATTACCAGGAGAATCTGAGTGAGGCAGTAGAAAAATGAAATATGAGAAGAGTCAGATCAAGGGCCCACAGCAGACAGTTTAAATGTTATTCTGAACGTGATGGGATGTCTCTAAAGGACATGACATCATGTTTGCCTTTTAAAAAGTCTTTTACTAACTAAATGTCTTACTGGTTTTACTACTCCCTCCTAAACAATGGACACTAGGATGAAATAGTAAAAGCAGTAAGACATTTAAGATGGGGTTGCTGGGCACAGTGGCGCACACCTATAATCCCAGCCATTTTAGGAGGCAGAAGTGGGAGGATCATTTGAGCCAAGGAGTTTGAGACCAGCCTGGGCAACACAGAAAGACCCCATCTCTACAATATTTTTTTTAAAAATTAGCCAGGGATGGTGGCACATGCCTGTGGTCCCAGCTGCTCAGGAGGCTGAGGTAAGAGGATCCCCTGCACTCGGGAGGTCAAGGCTGCAGTGAGCCATGATCATCCCACCGCACTCAAGCCTGGGTGACAAAGTGAGACTCTGTATCAAAAAAAAAAAAAAGATGATGGAGTTTAATAAAGTGGAAAGGATCTTGACAAGTGGAATATTCTGGATAAGTTGACAAAATCAAATATGATGAGGCTACAGAGTCATCTGCTTGGGGATTAAAGTTCTGAGAGTTGATAAGATAGCAATTTCAGGAAGCTTAGACATCTTGACTTAGAGCTATAAAAGGGTACATTTTTTATTACCAAGTTTTAATTAGTCTTCTTATTCCCCAAATGGGATCCCAAAAAGTTGACTGAATTAACTGAAAAGGAGGTCATTCAGGTGGGTCTGGTCTAATCACATAAGCCTTTTAAATCTGGGTCTAGAGAGGAAAGACGGAAGTAAAAGAAATTTGGAAGTCAGAGAGACAAGCTCCTGGTAGCTTGCACGAAAGCAAACATCCGTGCTACCAATGGCCTCTGGAGGCCTTGCTATGGAAGCTGTGAGCAGTGGCTGGCAAGAGGCAGCAAGAAAAGAGGGACTTCAGTCCTGTAACTGCAAGGGATTGAATTCTGCCAACAGACTGCATGAGCCTGGAAGAGGACCCTGATCTCCAAGAGAACCACAGCATGGCTAATACTTTGCAGCCCTGTGTGACCCTGAGCAGAGAACCCAGATCATCCATGCCCAGACTCCTACAGAAAGTGTAGGAGTCATTCACGGGTGTTGTTTCAAGCTGCAAAATTTGTGTTGTTACATAGCAATAGAAGACTAACACAGGTTCGTTCCACTTTCCTATGGAAGGGGCTGCTTCTCTTACCCTAGCAGCAAATAGAAAGAGAAGCGAACTTGAAAAAACAAAGCTTGACTTTTATGATCTCTAACTCACTATTCCTGGAGATTCTGTTCAATTACTGCTTGAGTCACAGTACTTGTTTTACTATCTACAACATTTTGCCAAAATATCAACTTTCTGAAAATCATGAGCAATGCAAACAGGTTTATTTTCAATTTTAGAAAGTAACTTTGGTTACTACGTAAAACTAAAAGCAACTGGGTGTTTTGGCTCCTTGAATGTCAAAGTAGTCTTAGCGCCTGGAGACACAGATCCCTGTCCTAATCTCAGAAATGAGCCACAAGGTCATGACTCCTGTCTTTCCTTACCAGGAGTTTCAGCTCCACAAAGGAATTTCATCTTTCGCTTTTGTTTGAATTACGAATAGCAGTTCAGAGGTGTTCTCAGATGCGAAAAGACAGTCCCCTCCAGATAATTATAAACTTGACCCCTAAAATGTGGACTCTCTCTAGAAGTCCAAGAACCTCCTGATCAAGGATGCAACAAGCCGCGGCTCCGCTCCTCCTGCCGGGAACTGTAGTTCTCCCGCGGCGACCTTCAGCCGTGGAAACCTATCGCGCGCCCAACCGGCGACCCAGACGACAGCAGCCAGGATTGGTCCTGGATGGGGGCAGCGCGGCGCTGATTGGATGGCACGCCCGCGAAGCCGCGCCTCCCGCTACTCTCCACACCCCACCCTGCTGTGGCAATAACCTCAAGTCATCCCACTCCGGCGAACTCTCTGGTGGCTGCCTCACTGCCAGCCCGGGCCTCTCCCAACAAGGTTGGCCCTAAGACTCGCCTCTGTCCTGGAAGCGAGGCAGCGTCCAAGACTCCCCAGTTTGCCGCTGACGGTCTTAGGTCAGCTTCCTCACACGCCCTCGGTAGCCCCAGTGCTCACCTGGGCGGCGGCGGTCACACCCGATAACTGACAGACCCGCAGCATCTCGGTGGAGCGGACGGCGGCACTAGTGAACGCTGGAGCTGCAGCGGCGGCGCGAGTAAGTGGAGTCGTGCGTGCGTATGTGCGTGCCCGCGTCCGCGCCCGGCGCACCGGAAGGGCAGCCGACTCCACTGCGCACGCGCAACCTCTTCTCCGGTACCCGACTCGGCAGCTCTTAAAGGGTGGGTTCTACCCCGGCTGCGGAAACGCCAGCTCCGGGCGATTGGTGCGAAGGAGGCTAGAAGGGCGGATTCACTTTCCGGGTCGCACTGAGGCTACAGGTCCTTATCCCCAAGCTGGGGTTACTAGGTGAACGCGGCGGGAGGGAGGGCCTTCTGAAATCCAGTCTTCAGCCGCACGTGTAAAATGGACACCTGTGACTCTTCAAAGAATTAAAGCAAGAAAGCATCTCAGCCGGCTCTGTGAGCTGGATATTTCGTAGGAAGGAGTGGATTTGGCCAAAGTTACGTAAACAATGGAATTGTCTCAGTTTGCGAGTTTGCTTCGTTTGACAGCCCTTCAGGGAGTCATCCTGATTGCCGAAGACGGTGAACGAACACTGTAGGGACCCTTGTGCGGAACGTGTCAAGTGGCACAAAAAGGATAGGAACACAGGTTCTTTGGACTCCACAGCTTCTGCTCCTTCCAGAAGCTTTCTCCCAAGTTTTTACTTTAGTAACATCATTTTGGCTGCAATTGTGGATGGGTTGGAACATGGAAGGTCAATACAGAAGCACGGTTGAAAGTATTCCATTAGGCCGGGCGCGGTGGCTCACGCCTGTAATCCCAGCACTTCGGCAGGCCGAGGCGGGAGGATCGCTTGAGCCCAGAAGTTCGAGATCAGCCTGGGCAACACAGTGAGACCTAGTCTCTATACAGAAAAACAAAAACAAACAAAATATACATATATATATGTATGTGTGTATATATATGTATGTATGTGTGTGTGTATGTATATATATATATATATATACATTTTTTTTTTTTTTTTTGAGACGGAGTCTTGCTCTTTCCCTGGAGTACAGTGGCACAATCTCAGCTGACTACAACATCTGTCTCCCGGATTCAAGCAATTCCCCTGCCTCAGTCTCCTGAGTAGTTGGGACTACAGGCGCCTGCCCCCACACCTGGCTAACTTTTTCTGTTTCAGTAGAGATGGGGTTTCATCATGGCCAGGATGGTCTCGATATCCTGACATGATCTGCCCGCCTCGGCCTCCCAAAGTGCTGGGATTATAGGCATGAACCACCGCGCCTGGCCGAAAAAAATTTTTAAAAAGAAAGTATTCTACTGATTCTATAATCAAAACATGTTAAATATTAAAATATGGTATTAATACTTCATGTATACTCCAGTATTAATATGTTAGTATTAATACTATTACCATCTTATTGCAATATCGTGGAAACTAACTTTTCTATCTTCTATTGAGTTTGCAAAGTATTCCAGGTCTTAACTGGGTAATTTATTACAATATAGTATTCTTTCTAGAGGTAGACTGTGCTATGACTTGTAGCATGGAGAGATGGACTTGAAAATTATCTAAAATCAAATGATTATGTTTGTATATGTTCTATGATTTTTAGGGAACTATAGTAATTACATATACTCAGTTTCATATCTGTATCACTTAGCTTCCAGAGCAGTCTCCCATTTTCTTTAGTAATTTTAGCAATTGAATTGCTGCCTCTTGCCCACTGCTGTCATGCTCAGTGGTGCTGGTGACTTTTCTAACACCCTTGACCTTGAACCTCTTAATGCGAGTGAACACTTTCATCCTGCTTCAGTCATATATTTCACAGCCACAACTTGCACCTGAACATCATTAGGAACCAACCTCTCTAGCTTCAAGATCTCAAACTTCAAAATCAGTCTCCCAATCCCTTATAACCCAAGTCCTTAATCCTCACTCTCCCATGCAAGTTGTGAATATTTTTGCTTTAAAATGTTATCAGAGTGGCTCAAACCTGTAATGGAGTACGAGGTCAGGAATTTGAGACCAGCCTGACCAACATGGAGAAACCCCATCTCTACTAAAAATACAAAATTTGCCAGGCATGGAGGTACAGGCCTGTAATCCCAGCTACTCGGGAAGCTGAAGCAAGAAAATCACTTGAACCGGAGAGGCAGAGGTTGCAGTGAGCTGAGATCATACCACTGCACTCTAGCCTGGGCGACAGAGTGAAACTCGGTCTCAATTTTAAAAAAATGTTACTGGGGCTGGGTGTGGTGCCTCATGCCTATAGTCCCAGCACTTTGGGAGGCTGAGGTGGGAGGATAACTTGAGCCCAGGAGTTTGAGACCTACCTGGGCAAAAGAGGGAGACCTCATCTCTATTTAAAAAAAAATTTAGGTCGGGCACGGTGGCTCACGCCTGTAATCTCAACACTGGGAGGCCGAGGTGGGTGGATCACGAGGTCAAGAGATCGAGACCATCCTGGTCAACATGGTGAAACCCTGTCTCTACTAAAATACAAAAAAATAGCTGGGTATGGTGGCGCATGCCTATAATCCCACCTACTCCGGAGGCTGAGGCAGGAGAATTGCCTGAACCCAGGAGGCGGAGGTTGCGGTGAACCGAGATCGTGCCATTGCACTCCAGCCTGGGTAACGAGCAAAATTCCCATCTCAAAAAAAAAAAAAAAAATTTAATTGGCAGGGTATGATTGTAGTGCCAGCTACTTGGAAGGCTGTGTGGTAGGATTGCTTTAACCCAAGAATTCCAGGCTACAGTGATTGCACCACTGCACTCAGACCCTTTCTCTAAAAAATAAAACTTAAATCACTCACTTATTCAAAAAATACACAGTGAGGCCAGGCTCAGTACTCACACTTATAATCCCAGCACTTTGGCAGGCTGAGATGGGAGAATTGTTTGAGTCCAGGACCAAACAGTTGAGACCAGCCTGGGCAACATAGTAAGAGCTAGGTCTCTACAAAAAAAATTAAAAATTAGCCAGGTGTAATGGTGTGTGCTTGTAGTCCCAGCTATTCAGGAGGCTGAGGTGAAAGTATTGCTTGAACCTAAGAGGTTGAGGCTGCAGCGAGCTATGATCACACCACTGCACTCACCTCATTTAAAAAAAAAATGTGCAGTGACTCCCATTTCCAATTCAAAGAGCTCTTATGAATGTCTCAATACTTGTCTAGCATATGTGGATGTTTCTGGACTCAAAGTGGTCACCATAGGTGGGAGATCAAGTTGGCAACAATAGTTTTCCAAGGTTATACACCTGTATCTCAGACAAATTGAAGTATAACCATCTCAGAGGTTGTTTGTTTTTGTTTTGTTTTGTTTTGTTTTGAGATACAGTGTCCCTCTGTTGCCCAAACTGGAGCGCAGTGGCTCAGTCTTGGCTCACTGTAACCTCTGCCTCCCAGGTTCAAGTGATTCTCCTGCCTCAGCCTCCCGAGTAGCTGGGACTACAGGCACATGCCACCATGGCTGGCTAATTTTTTGTATTTTTAGTAGAGATGGGGTTTCGCTGTGTTAACCAGGATGGTCTCGATCCCCTGACCTCGTGATCTGCCCACCTCGGCCTCCCAAAGTGCTGAGATTACAGCCATGAGCCACTGCACCCAGCCATCTCAGAGGTTCTTAAAGCATGTTCCAGGAACCCCTAGGTAAAATGTCTTACTGCTCATTAGGTGATTATTGACCAAATAGTTGAGTGGAAATACTGGCCAGGCGCAGTAGCTCACGCCTGTAATCCTAGCACTTTGGGAGACCGAGGCAGGTGGATCACTTGAGGGCAGGAGTTTGAGACCAGCCTGACCAACATGGTGAAACCCTGTCTCTACTAAAAATACAAAAATTAGCTGGGCATAGTGGCGCATGCCTGTAATCCCAGCTCCTTGAGAGGCTGAGGCAGGGAGAATCGCTTGAACTTGGGAGGCAGAGGTTGCAGGGAGCCGAGATCACACCACTGCACTCCAGCCTGGGCAACAAAGTGAGAGCCTGTCTCTAAAAATAAAAAAGAATGTAGGAGGGACAGTCAGAGGAGATGTGACAATGGATAGAGAGATCAAAGTGATACAATTGCAGTCTTAGGATATAAGGAAGTCATGAGCCAAGAAATAAAGCTTCTAGAAACTGGAAAAAGCAAGGAAAAGAATTCTCTAGAGCCTCCGGAAGGAACACAGCCCTTTGGTTTGATTTTACTTTGATTCTAGTGAAATCTGTTTTGGACTTCTGACCTACAGAACTGTAAGTAATTTGTCATTCAAGCCACTAAGTTTGTGGTAATTTGTTAAACAACAATAGGACACTGACACAATAACTTTTTAATTTTTCACAATTTTAATTTTCAAGAGAGTAAATACCAATAGATATAATCCATAAAAGGAAAAACCTCTTTGGGATCCCCAACAATTCTAATAGTGTAAATGAGTTCTGAGATGACAATGTTTAAGAACTACTGCTCTAAATATTAATAAATCCTGTGTCTGTCTTGGCACCCTCTCCTTTGACCTTAGCTCTTGCTATTCTTAACTGCATAGACTGGCTTTGCCTTTGCTAAAGTCTTCCCCATTGTTTAAGATCCATCTTATAGCCTCCCTGCTCATTTGAGATCACTCCAGAGACTTCTCTCAACTTTTAACTGCCCCAATGAATCGTTTATCTGCCTTGCCTTATTTATGTCCTATGCTTGTCTCCTTATTAAATGTGAACTTCTGGAGACCAGGTGTTTCACCCTTACCCATTTCAGCCAGTAAGTAATGTTGTATATTGTATATGCATGGATGATGTTGGATATTCCCTATGGAGAAAATCTCGGGCAGTGGGATAGAAGAGACAGTTTGGTTGTGGGGTTTTTTCCCCCCCCATTTGAATAAACATCAGAAAAAAATATATACACTCACCAATTCTCAAGAATAAAATAAGGTAGAATTGTTCAGGGAAAGTCAAGATGTTGTTGACAAAATGACCAAATGACATTGTTACTGACTTTTTAAAAATAATGTATGTATGTATGTGTAGTATCTTTAGAATATTTACATTCATTTGATATAGTTGACAATCCAGTTTTCTTCCAAAACAATTTTTTGATCTCACTTTATGGCCCAGACTGGAGTACAGTGTGGAGTACAGTGGTGTGATCACAGCTCACTTGTAACCTTGAACTCCTGAGCTCAAGCAATCCTCCTGCCTGGCCTTCCAAGTGGCTGGGACTACAAAAGCACACCACCACAACTGGCGAATTATTTCTTTTTCTCTCTCTTTTTTTTTTTTTTTTGAGACAGAGTTTCGTTCTTGTCACCCAGGCTGGAGTGCATTGGGGCAACCTCCGCTCACTGCAACCTCCATCTCCCAGGTTCAAGTGATTCTCCTGCCTCAGCCTCTGGAGTAGCTGGGATTATAGGCATCTGCCACCATGCCCAGCTAATTTTTTGTATTTTTAGTACAGACAGGGTTTCACCATGTTGGCCAGGCTGGTCTTGAACTCCTGACCTCAGGTTATTCATCCAGCTGATGAATTAAAAAATTTTTTTGTAGATAGGGGTCTCACTATGTTGCCCAAGCTGGAGTAAACTGGACTCAAGCAATCCTCCCACCTCAGCCTCCCAAAGCACAAAATGATTTTATATAATATTACTAACATCTTCCAGTTTTGTAAGGTTAACATTAATAAAAAGAGCAAAAAGAAATCTTCAACTATGTTGTGTACTTTAAATCTTTCAATTACATACTTAATTAGAATTTTGTTATTTTTCTTTTTCTTTTTTCTTCCTTAAACATGCATGCCATTGTAGAATTTTTTTAATTAAAAAATTTTTTTTCTTTTTCTTTTTTTTTGAGGAGTCTTGCTCTGTCGCCCAGGCTAGAATGCAATGGCGCGGTCTCGGTTCACTGCAACCTCTGCATCCCGGGTTCAAGCGATTCTCCTGCCTCGGTCTGCCGAGTAACTGGGACTACAGACATGTGCCACCACACTTGGCTAATTTTTGTGTTTTTAGTAGAGACAGGGTTTCACCCTGTTGCCCAGGCTGGTCCTGACCTCGTGATCCTCCCGCCTCCGCCTCCCAAAGTGCTAGGATTACAGGTGTGAGCCACTGCGCCCGGGCTTTTTTGTTTTTTTGAGACGGGGTCCTTTGCTTAAAATATTTGCACAAGCGCGAGTGCAGTTGAGTGATTGCATCTCAATGCAGCCTAGACCTCCCGGGTTCAAGCGATCCTCCCACCTCAGCCTTCCGATTAGTGTAGCTGGGACTACAGGCGCGAGCCACCATGTCTGGCTTCAATAAGAATTTTTTAAATAGAAATTTTGTAGAAGTTTCTATAGGCAGTTGTTTCACAGCAGTGAAGGGCAGAAGCTGGCGATGACGTTCAATAAATGTTGAGTGGACCGCTCCTTTGTTCTTTTCCTGTTCCTTGACTCCGCCTCCTTGCTTTCTCTACGTTCACTTTTCTCTTGTGCTTTTAAACCCAAAGCGGCCGCCGTAGACGAGGTTTGCAAGATGGCTGCCTGCGCTTTTGCTGGTGCGGTGAAAACGGCTTCAGGTTAGTGTAGAGTGACCTGTTCCTTGCATGCCTTCACAGAATGGGGAACTGGTGCGGGATGGAAAGGGCGTTTAGATTGGAGGTTAACAAGTAAAAAGGGTCGTTATTTAAGATAAGAGGGTTGCGCCCAATTTTCTCTGAGGCTGTGTGACCGGCAGCAAGGGTCCCCAACTCGCACTCGGGCTGGCCTCTGTGTCCCGCATTTTACGTTTCCTTGCCAGTTTTTTCTTCCCTAGAAAACAAGTCAGAGAAACTGGGGCGAAGTGGGCGAGGGAGACCAAAAAGGCCCACCTAACTTTCTGATTTAGAGACTAGGATTTGCTGTCATTCACGACCTTTGACCTTGATAATTAATTTCTCCTAACTTCAGATTCTACACCTGTAAAATGGGGGTAATACCACCTACCTGTGGATTAAATGAGATCATGCACGTAAAGCGTCTTGGGAAGTGCCTGACACATAGTAAGCTTGAAGGCTAATTTTTAACTACAGCCCCCGGCACAAGGGCTGGCATGAGGACTTAAGACTGAGTGATAGCAGAAGTAAAGACCACTAAGTTAAGTCGCCGTCACTGCCGTTTAGTTCTTGTTGCAGAAAGTTAAAGGGTATCTAAATACCATAGGATGCTCAGTAAGTTACTTTCGCACAAAACAAGTTAGGATAAAATTTTGTGGAAGAATATACGAGGTTAGTAAAGAAAATGCAACGATGTAAATTTTCCCGTTAGAGAAAAGTTTTTTTTTATGTGGAGTATTTTTTGTGTTCGCGAAATATAATACATATAAAGATAGTTGTGTATAGTATGCATGAATGGTTTAACAATTCTAAAGCAAACACCTGTTTAACATTCAGGTCAAAACACTGCACCACCAGAATGCTCCTCTCCACTGTGTATCAATATTCTCTGCTTCCCCCAAAGAAAAGCACTGTTCTCATTTTAGTAATTACTATTAGGTTGCCTGTTTTTCCTATAGTAGTTTTAGCATTTATATGTGCATCTCTCAAAAGCATAGTTTTGCCTGGTTTTGAATGTCACATGAATTGACTCATACAGTAAACTCTTTAGTGTTTTCTTTTACATTGTGACATTCATTCATTTTGCATAACTATAATGCTTTCTCATTGCTATGTAATATATGACTGTTCCACAATTCTCCATTTCCAGTTTGGGGCAATTAGGTACAAAGCTGATTTGATCTTGTCCTGGCGCATGAGTGTAATTGTTTCTGAGGGCGTTTGTGTGTGTGTGTGTAAAACTAGCTGTGGAATTGTTGGGTCAGAGAATATGTATATATTCAGCCTTGCCTGGTATTGCCAAACTGTTCCACATCCTCACCAACACCTGTTATTGTCAGACCTACAAATTTTTGTTCATCTGGTAGCTTTGTAATGATATCTTACTGAGATTTAAATAAGCATTTCTCTGATTAGTGACAAGCTGTAGTGTGTTTACACATGTATATTGGCCTTTTGAATTTCTTTTATGAAATATCCACTTAAATATTTTGCCCATTTTCCTATTGGGTTGTCTTATTTATTTAGGGTTGTTTTTTTTTTTCTTTTTAAATGTGTATCCTTTATCTTCTCCCACTCCAGCTGGTCTTTTTTACATTATTTTGGAGTGTCTGTTAACAAAAAGTTATTTTTCATCTACTTGAATTTATAGTTCTTCTGTTTTTTAAATAGATGATGTAGGTAGTTATCAACTTCTATTTAGATTCTATTGTAAATATTTTAAAGAGTGATGTGATGGCTTATTTTTAAATGTCAGTATTTTAAATATGTGGGAAATTATAGCTTTTTAAACAATTTAAACGATTTGATATTTTAGATATTAATCAAAATTCTTTTAGGAAACATGAGATGAAAAATCTGTCACACTCTACTCCACTCCCACCCAGTGCAGTTCATGTCCCCCGTTCAGTCCTTTGCTTCATGCCACACAGGGCTATTTGTAATTCTCCAAATGTGCATCGTCAGCTTTGTACGTCCTATTCCCTCTGTCTCTTCTTACACTTTCAAAACTCTGGTTTTGTGTTACCTCTTTTGTGAAAACATCTGTGTTCTCCGTACAAGAGTATGTTTACAGTAGACTAGTCTGTATGAAAATGCCCAGACAGGGACAGAGAACTGAAGGAAATTAGAGCTAGGCTGTTAGGTTTCCATTACAGGCTTAATCACATGATTGGTCCACCAGAAGGTGCAGTAGATAGAGCCTCCCGCCATCTTTTCCCAGGAATTGCTCTCAACTAAGTTCCCCGTTCCTGTTGTTTCAATAACCATTTTTTTTCTAACTTCAGTGTATTTATTCCTGATTTTATCTTGCTAGTTTTGATCTGTATTTCTTTCTTCCCTGCCCCCCCCAAGATGGCGTTTCTCTCTTTTTGCCCAGGCTGAAGTGCAATGGCGTGATCTCGGCTCACTGTAACCTCTGCCTCTGGGGTTCAAGTGATTCTCCTGTCTCAGCCTCCTGAGTAGCTGGGATTACAGGTGCCTGCCACCACGCCTGGCTAATTTTTTATATTTTTAGTAGAGACAGAGTTTCACCATGTTGGCCAGGCTGGTCTTAAACTCCTGACATCAGGTGATCCACCCTCCTCGACCTCCCAAACTGCTGGGAATACAGGCATCGGCCACCACGCCCGGCCTCTTTTTCTTTTTTTTTAATTTATACCCTTGGTGCTAAACCAGAAAATTGGAACACTTTCTTGTCTACAGTCCTCCAATGATCTCCTGCCTTATTACATCTGTACATCTTTTCAGTTCTTTGAGGTTTAACTTATTTATACCCGGAGACTTTAATTCCTGCGGTGGGTAGAGAATTTGATTTCCAGAGACTCTATGTAAGGGCTATCATCAGTTTTCTGCTCCACTGTTTGTACTGTTTTCAGTTGCAAATTGTTACCTCTTTTTTGGGGGGAGAGACAGAATCTCATTCTGTCACCCAGGCTGGAGTGCAGTGGCGTGATCTCAGCTCACTGCAACCTCCACCTCCTGGGTTCAAATGATTCTCCTACCTCAGCCTCTGAGTAGCTGGAACTACGGGCACGTGCCACTCTGCCCAGCTAATATTTTTGTATTTTTAGTAGAGACAGGGTTTCACCATGTTGGCCAAGCTGGTCTTGAACTCCTGACCTCAGGTGATCCAACTGCCTTGGCCTCCCAAAGTGTTGGGATTACAGGTGTGAGCCACCTCACCCCGCCCTGTTATCACTGATGGAGAAAAGTAAAATATGTGTTCATCATCATGCTTATCATCAGCCAGCCACCTGTTAATATACAGGTTAGGCATCTCTAATCTGAAACTTTTTGAGTACCAACGTGACACCACAAGTGGGAAATTCTTTCCCTGACCTCATGTGATGGGTAGCAGCCCACACTTTGTTTCATGTACAGAATTATTTAGCCGGGTGCAGTGGCACGTACCTGTAGTCCCAGCTACTCAAGAGGCTGAGGTGGGTGGATTGCTTGAGCCCAGGAGTTCTGGGCTGTAGTGTGCTATTGCCAATCAGGTGTCCGCAGTAAGTTCGGCATCAATATGGTGACCTCCTGGGAGCGGGAGACCACCAGGTTGTCCAAGGAGGGGTGAACCAGCCCAGGTCGGAAACGGAGCAGGTCAAAACTCCTGTGCTGATTAGTAGTGGGATTGCATCTGTGAATAGCCACGCACTCCAGCCTGGGCAACATAGCGAGACCCGTTTCTTAAAAAAAAAATAAATAAATAAATAATAAAAAGAAAAACAAAATTATTTAAAATATTGTATAAAATTAACTTCAGCCTATATGTATAAGATGTATATGAAACAAATGAATTTCATGTAAGATATCTCCTTTATGCAAAATTGAAAAAAATCCAAACTCCTGGTCATAGGCATTTCAAATATTCAACCTCTATCACCTTTGCTAAGTATTCCTCTTCTTTATTATCTGCCATTAGTATTCATTATATGTTTTCTGTGTGCTAAATATTTTCCAAGCACTTTACATGCTTCATCTCATTCAAGTGTCATTACCTCTTCATAATTAACTTTATTTAAATTTGAGGAAACTGGGGCACAGAGAGGTTAAGTAACTTGCCCATAGTTACACAGCAAGGAACTGTATGAGCCGAAACCATCTGATTCAAACCTTAGCACTTCTACACCACATGGCCCCTCATCTGTTACATGAAATCATTGCAATGGAAAATACGAGAGTAGTTCTAAGTCCCAGCTGAGCAGCAGACTCAGATGGACTATTTTTTTTTGGAGACTGAGTTTCGCTCTTGTTACCCAGGCTGGAGTGCAATGGCGCAATCTTGGCTCACCGCAACCTCTGCCTCCTAGTTTCAGGCAATTCTCCTGCCTCAGCCTCCTGAGTAGCTGGGATTACAGGTATGCGCCACCATGCCCAGCTAATTTTTTTTGTATTTTTAGTAGAGACGGGGTTTCACCAGGTTGACCAGGATGGTCTCAATCTCTTGACCTTGTGATCCACCTGCCTCTGCCTCCCAAAGTGCTGGGAATACAGACTTGAGCCACCGGGCCTGGCCCTCAGATGGACTATTAACCAGCTTTATATGAGGTAGAATTCACATGCCATAAAATTACCCATTTTATGTGTACATTTTATGATTTTTTATTAATTTAACAAGTGGTAGAACCATCACCACATTTTCTTTTAATTTTTAGTTTTGTATTAGTGTGTTTTTTTTACTACTTTAAGTTCTGAGGACATTCTCATCATCCTGTGGAACTTCTATAACATGCACAATTTTGAGTCCCACACTAGACTTTAGTCAGAATTTATGGGTGGAGTCAGAGCTCCATGAGCGATTCTAATTTGCAGCCATGAACTTTTAGTCTGGCCATAGTGGGAAGGACTGGTAAGAGGAATGCATCCAGACCACACATCTAGCTCTCTGAAATCTGCCTTCTGACCTGCTCCATCTCACTGCTCACTCCTCCCCAGGCATCTCTGATAGGCGAGCAATCTCAGCCTCTGAGGCAGGTCTGGTCCTCAGCCTGTACATGTACAGTTGATCCTGGGAACAACACAGCAGGTGGGGTGTCAACTCCCACGCAGTTGAAATCCAAGTATAACTTTTGGCTCCTCCAAAACTTAATTACTAATAGCCTACTGTTGGCTAGAAGCCTTAACAATAATAAAACCCATTGATTAACATATATTCTTAGGCCAAGCACAGTGGCTCACACCTGTAATCCCAGCACTTTGGGAGGGCAAGGCAGGTGGATCACTTGAGCCAGGAGTTCAAGATCGGACTGGGCAACATGGCAAAATTCTGTCTCTAGTAAAATTAGCCAGGCATGGTGGCACATCCTGTAGTCCCAGCTACTCGGGATGCTGAGGTAGGAGGATTGATTGAGCCCAGGAGGTCAAGGCTGCAGTGAGCTATGATCATACCACTGCACTCTAGCCTGGGCAACAAAGTGAGACCCTGCTTCAAAAAAAGAATTTTAAAATAGATATTTTGCATGTTATGTGTATTATATACTCTTACAATAAAGCAAGCTAGAGAAAAGAAGATCATAAGGAAGAGAAATAGATTACTGTTCATTAAGTGGAAGTGGATCATCATAAAGGTCTTCATTATCTTTACATTAACTAGGCTGAGGAGGAGTTGGTTTTGCTGTGTCTGGGATTGCAGAGAAAGAAGAGGTGGAGGAGGTAGAAGGAGAGGCTGGACAGGCAGGCGCACTTGGTGTAAATTTTTTTGAAAAAAATCTGTGTGTAAGTGGCCCTGTGCAGTTCAAACCCATGTTTTTCTAGGGTTGCCTGTATTTGTTTCAGTCCCTGCGCTTTTGCTTTTATTGTTCTTCCTGCCTGAAATGTGTTCTTCCTCTTCTAAGGGCCTGTTCATTTTCTAGAGGAGAACCCAAGTGCCTCTTCTCTTTTCTTCAAGATTCTTTCTCTTGCCACTATTGTCTCTTCAGGAAGGGTCCAAGCTCTTGTATCCCTGACCTGCCATTGTACTGTATGTGAGAGTTCTGTCTCACCAGAATATAAGATCTGAGAGGTGGGAACAAACATTATACACATCTTTTTTCCTAGTACTGGACATAGAGCTAGCAAACATCTGACTGGATTGTGATGATGGTTGCACAGCTCTCTGAATTTTCTAAAAATTGTTGAATTGTATATATAAAATAGGTCATTATTTTATGGTTATACCTTAGTAAGGTGCTAAAAGCTTCACAGGTGAATTTGATGCTCAGGGCACCTTAATTATGTATAATACTTGGTGGCATTGATACATCTCCTAATTTTGGATGCATATTTTGGAGTATTATTTATGCTTCTGTCTTTACAGGAATCCTACGGCCCCTAAATATTTTGGCATCTTCAACCTATCGAAATTGTGTCAAGAATGCCTCTCTTATTTCTGCATTGTCCACTGGACGTTTTGGTCACATTCAGACATCAGTTGTTTCCTCCACTTCCAGACTTATCACATCTGAGAAAAACCTGACATGTGGGCGTACTTCAGTGACCCTTAATAGGTAGAGTATAGTTTCTTTTTCTTTTTTTTTTTGAGACGGAGTCTCACTCTGTCGCCCAGGACGGAGTGCAGTGGCATGATCTCGACTCACTGCAACCTCCACCTCCTGGGTTCAAGCGATTCTTCTGCCTCAGCCTCCTGAGTAGCTGGGACTATAGGCGAGCGCCACCACACCTGATTAATTTTTGTATTTTTAGTAGAGATGGGGTTTTACCATATTGCTCAGGCTGGTCTCAAACTCCTAACCTCATGATCTGCCTGCCTCAGCCTCCCAGAGTTCTGGGATCATAGGCATGAGCTACCATGCCCAGCTGGTAGGGTATATTTCAGTAAATGCAATGCTTAGACAAACTTTCCAAGACATTTATGCCTGCATACTTATCCTAGAAGTAGGTGGTATTCTTCGCCTACCTGCAGTTAGTTATGCAGACTTCTGCTTGATTCAGTGGGAGGCTCTAACTGACATCCATGTATCTAGGTGCCTGCAGCAGGAAAGTGCCAAACAGCACACAGCTGATTTGTATGTATGCTTTCCTGCATGGAAGCTATCATCCAAAGTAGAGGGTGAACAAGACGCTCAGCTTATAAGGCTGGGTTGTGTGTGTTGGTCATTCAGTGAGCAAACATTCAGTTAAACACCCCTGGGTGCCTAGCACTGGACTTGGCAAAAAGGACGCAAGGAAAAGCAAGTCGAAGTCCTCAGGGAGTTTGCAGTCTGGTGGGAAGATGGGTAAGAAATGAAAGTATGATAATAGAGTGAATTTTTTTTTTTTTGAGACAGAGTTTGCTCTTGTTACCCAGGCTGGAGCGCGATCCCTGCTCACTGCAACCTCCGCCTCCTGGGTTCAGGCAATTCTCCTGCCTCAGCTTCCTGAGTAGCTGGGATTACAGGCACACACCACCATGCCCAGCTAATTTTTTGTATTTTTAGTAGAGACAGGGTTTCACCATGTTGACCAGGATGGTCTCAATCTCTTGACCTCGTGATCCACCCACCTCAGCCTCCCAAAGTGCTGGGATTACAGGCTTGAGCCACCGCGCCTGGCAACAGTGAACCTTTTTACAGGGACTAAGGGGGTGGGTTTTAGAAGACTTGTGAGTTGGTGATGGTTGCTATTCTTATTCATGTTTAGTCTCATGGACCATTGGAAGTAACATTGTATATGAAAAGTTAGCTCCATTCCATTGGAGCAGCTTCACTCATTTCTTATTATAGATATGAATTTTAACCCTTTAATCAGTCTGATTATAAGCTAAACATTTAAAAATATGTTTTAGAGTGGCCCCCTTGCTTCCAAGTGTCCTGAAGCTACCAGTCAGATCTCTAACATACTTCAGTACACGAAAAGGCAAGAGAAAGACTGTGAAAGCTGTCATCTACAGGTTTCTTCGACTTCATTGTGGACTTTGGGTGAGAAGAAAGGTGAGTCTTCACACTGTTACTTAGTTGAAAAAGGAGTGTGAGCAGATTAAAATGAAGCAGAATTCAGCTGGACACAGTGGCTCACTCCTGTAATCCCAGCACTTGGGGAGGTCAAGGCGGGCAGATCACTTGAGGTCAGGAGTTCAAGACCAGCCTGGTCAAAATGGTGAAACCCCAGCTTTACTAAAAATACAAAAATTAGCCGGACTTTATGGCGGGTGCCTGTAATCCCAGCTACTTGGGAGGCTGAGGCAGGAGAATCACTTGAACCTGGGAGGCAGAGGTTGCAGTGAGCCAATATTACACCACTGTACTCCAGCCTGGGCAGCAGAGCAAGACTCCGTCTAAAAAAAAAAAGAAAGAAAAGAAAGCAGCAGTTCCCTTTTATTACTTGGAAATTAAATAATTCTTTAAAGATCAAAATCTGGTTCCCTGTAAAAATAAAATAGGTGGCAGATCTTTCTTGCTGTTTAAAAGGTTGAGAGGATTCTCCCATCTTATAAACAGTCTTAAATTTGTAAATAAATGGGTTGATTGGAACTCTCAGCTCATTTCTCTGTTGAAACACTGTGGTGAGTGGTTTTCCACACCAGTCAAAAGAAGCTCTTATAATCCATAAGTAGCTGAACTAAAGTTCTGATGGTTCTGAGTTTTGTGAATTTGGGACCACTGGAAACATTTCTTACCTTTTGTGTGTTGTTTTTTCTTTTTTTGAGACAGAGTGTCACTCCATCGCCCAGGCTGGAGTGCAGTGGTACAATCTCAGCTCACTGCAACCTCTTACTCCTGGATTCAAGCAATTATTTTGCCTCAGCCTCCCAAGTAGCTGGGATTACAGGTGTGTGCCACCATGCCAGGCTAATTTTTGTATTTTTGGTAGAGAATGGGTTTCACCACGTTGACCAGGCTAGTCTTGAACTCCTGACCGTAAGTGATCCACCTGCCTCAGCCTCCCAAAGTTCTAGTATTATAGGCATGAGCCAAGGCGCCTAGTCATCCCCCCCGCCCACCCACTTTGTTTTTGTACCAGTTATTTCCAGGTCCTCATCTAGCCCTTAGTAAAATAAAATGGGTGGATTTTCTTGCCTTCCTTTCCATTTCCCTCTTACTGGGCTCTGGAGTCCTCATGTTACTGTAAAGGACCTGATCATACTCTCCAATGATAATCCTAGTTTCATTTCAGGGCTCCCAAAAGTATACCATGTATAGAATGCCCTGCTTCTTCAAAATCTAATTTTCAGAGGAAAACAAAAAATTCTGGGTAGATTAATTTATACTAGTGTATAAAACAAAGTATTCTCCATGACATGGTTTTATCCAGTAGTCCTTGATATTTATTATTTCCTTCTTCTTTTTTTTTTTTGAAGTGGAGTTTTGCTTTTGTTGCCCAGGCTGCAGTGCAATGGCGCGATCTCAGCTCACTGCAACCTCCACCTCCTGAGTTCAAGCGATTCTCCTGCCTCAGCCTCTTGAGTAGCTGGGATTGTAGGAATGCACCACCATGCCCAGCTAATTTTTTTGTACCTTTAGTAGGGACAGGTTATCTCCATTTTGGTCAGGCTGGTCTGGAACTCCCAACCTCAGGTGATCTGCCTGCCTCAGTCTCCCATAGTGCTGGGATTGCAGGTGTCAGCCACTGCGCCTGGCCACTCCTCCATTTTTGAATCTGGAGATTGTCTAAAAAATTTCAAGCATTTTCACAGTGGTTCCATTCCATGAATAATTCTTTTTTTTTTTTTTTTTTTTGAGATGGAGTTTTGCTCTTGTTACCCAGGCTGGAGTGCAATGGCACGATCTCGGCTCACTGCAACCTCTGCCTCCTGGGTTCAGGCAATTCTCCTGCCTCAGCCTCCTGAGTAGCTGGGATTACAGGCACACACCACCATGCCCAGCTAATTTTTTGTATTTTTAGTAGAGATGGGGTTTCACCATGTTGACCAGGATGGTCTCGATCTCTTGACCTCGTGATCCACCCACCTCGGCCTCCCAAAGTGCTGGGATTACAGGCGTGAGCCACCGCACCCGGCCTCCATGAATAATCTTTAAAGGATCCTGGTGGTAATGAGCAGGACAGCAAATTAGGTATTTGTACGTCAGAGATCCATAGAAACCTAGTTTGGCCTGCAAACTAAAAAATTACTACACAAATGTAGAGATTTGGCTTTGGATCTTTGCATTTAAAATTGTAAGCAATGAGTAGCAAAAATCTAACTGCCAGCATTTTAAAACCAGAACTCTTAAATAACCTTTCCTTATTTCATCACTGTTCTTACAGAAGTTGATGGTCACAGTAATGATACTAAGACGTCAGAAACCCATGGCACATTCTCAGCAAACAGCCATGGCTTTGTTCAGTCGGTACTGTGCCATAAATAGCCCTTGGCTTGAGAGGACCCAAGGGCTTGCTGCATGGTTTTAGCCAAATGTTGAGCTGGGTGGCACCTAAGATCCCTTGTGGTTTAAACAGGCTATGATTATAGTGTTGGTTTTGTTTTTTGTTTTTTGTTTTGAGATGGGAGTTTTGCTCTTGTTGCCCAGGCCAGAGTACAATGGTGTGATCTCAGCTCACCGCAACCTCCGCCTCCCAGGACCAACCTTTCTCCATGTTGGTCAGGCTGGTCTCCAACTCTAGACCTCAGGTGATCTGCCTACCTTGGCCTAGTTTTTATATTCAATCTAATTTTCCTTGTCTTTAAAAATAAATTCTTTAAAAATTCAAAATACATGTATGGGTGTATATGAAAGTTCTGGGATAAACGTATGGATTAACCATTCCTTCACTACTCCTAATGATAGTCTTACCATATTCATAATTCCTTAGAAAAATACTTCCTGGGGCCGGGCGCAGTGGCTCAAGCCTGTAATCCCAGCACTTTGGGAGGCCGAGGCGGGTGGATCACGAGGTCAAGAGATCGAGAGCATCCTAGTCAACATGGTGAAACCCCGTCTCTACTAAAAATACAAAAAATTAGCTGGGCATGGTGGTGCATGCCTGTAATCCTAGCTATTCAGGAGGCCGAGGCAGGAGAATTGCCTGAACCCAGGAGGCGGAGGTTGTGGTGAGCCGAGATCATGCCATTGCACTCCAGCCTGGGTAACAAGAGCAAAACTCCGTCTCAAAAAAAAAAAAAAAAAAAAAGAAAAGTACTTCCTATAAAATTTAGTCCCTTGTGTGTGAAAAGTATAAATGAAATCACTTACTTGAGAACTATGCATCTCAGCTCTTGTTATACTCAGCCTCCTTAATAAACATTAATGTTGTTACCCTAGCAAGCACTCCATTGTCTTCTACATTAGGAAAGACAGTAGTTAAGAACTCTTATTAGCCCGGGCAAGATGGTGAGACTTTATCTCTACAAAAATTTTAAAAATTAGCTTGGTATGCTGGTGCACACTTGTGGTCCCAGCTATACACGAGGCTGAGGCAGGAGGATCACTTGAGCCCAGGAGGTAGGCCTGAGTGACAGTGAGACCCTGTCTCAAAACAGGACAAAAAAAGAACTCTTATTAGCTCTCAGAATTCTGTCTGCTCCTTCTCTAATCAATGGTTTCTTTTTTAAAATACGTAAAATGAGAATAATAGTATGTTGTTAAAGATTGCTGAAGAGATAATAAGATCATGCCTATAAAGTTAGTGATTATAATTCTGTGTTACCTTGTACTTTCCCAGTCACATTTAGTTTTATTTTCTGTGATTTTAATTTAAATAACATTTAAAAATATATATTATGTATTACTATTTCTTTTCAAATTACACATGCTTTCTCCATCCACCCCCATTGAGAATCACATCTTTCCAAAAAATATTCCAGCCCCTATGGAAGTCTGGTTTTTGTTCTTACAGGGTCTATAAACCTTGAGTTGTGAAGATACCTGTTGTTTTCTACATAATAGGATGTTTTACATTTCTTTGTAATATCTGATAGGCTGGTTATAAGAAAAAACTATGGAAAAAGGAACCTGTGAGAAAAAAGCGACTGAGGGAATTTGTATTCTGCAATAAAACCCAGAGTAAACTCTTAGATAAAATGACGACGTCCTTCTGGAAGAGGCGAAACTGGTATGTCGACGATCCTTATCAGAAGTATCATGATCGAACAAATCTGAAAGTATAGTCAGAAGTTTCACTTGTTTCTCAGTTACTGAATTGTATCTTTGTGTACATGATATCTTTGCAAAAATGAATAAGCATAAAATTTGATGTGAATTGTACCAATGAATATGTAAAGATACAGTGACATTAAACTTGTACAAGATTTAAAACTTAATGGATCAGACTTTGCCAGACTTGGTTAGGGAAACAGAAGTTTAGAATTGTGCATTATTTTTAACAAATGGTATTGGCTTAACTAGTTGTTTGAATTAGACTTATTTAGTTGCAAGGAATCTCAAGTGGGACAAACAAAAAGACTCAAAAGCTGCAAGTTAGCTCAAACAATGTGACATTATTTAAGGATATGGGCCTGGGAATTCAGGAGCCACCTCACTAACCCCATCTCCCATCCAGAAATCACCCCCCAGCATCAGGAAGAGCAGAAATTGGGTGGTGATCCTCAGCAGGAGAAGGTGGATGTCTAGGCTTGGGCTCTGCCACACATTTGACTTTATTCTTTTTACATTGTTAGCTCCATTCTCCCTGTACTCACTAACTTCTCTAATTCACAGCTTTTGCATACTTAGTTTCTGTTTCCTTGTAATAACTTTAACTTGCACCTTTGAGGTTCTTTTCTACATCATGACTTTTAGCTCCTGTCTCTAGTCTCTAATTGCCGAGGGAATTTAACTGCGCCAGACTACCTTTTTATACTAGGTCTGGTCAGGTCATTGTCTAGAGTAGGGATTGGCTGCTGTTCTTAAGTCAGGAGCCCACTCTAGCCCACAGTGTATTAGCAGGTTTGCATGCAGCAAAAAACAGTTATGTGAGCAGTTTCACTTGGAGGTTCACATGGGGTGGCAGCACACTTAATGTCTAACATACCAGGTTCATTGTGTTCATAACACTTCTCATTTATTGTAACAACATTTTTTCTTTCTTTCTTTCTTTTTGAGATCGTCTCACTCTGTTGCCCAGGCTGGAGTGCAGTGGTGCAATCTTGGCTCACTGCAACCTCCGCCTCTTGGAGTAATTATTCTGCCTCAGTCTCCCAAGTAGCTGAGAGTAGAGGCCCGCACCACCACACCCAGCTAATTTTTGTATTTTTAGTAGAGACTGGGTTTCACCATGTTGGCCAGGATGGTCTCGATCTCCTGACCTCATGATCTGTCTGCCTCAACCTCCTAAAGTGCTGGGATTATAGGCATGAGCCACTGCGCCCAGCTGTAACATTGTTTCATAGAGAGGAGAGTAAATAGACTTTCAGCATGCCTGTTCATGAAACAGAAGAGGCTATACAAGTAAAGACAAGGGCATTTTATGCAAATTTGAAAGATATGTATTTATTTTTTTTTTAGAGACAGGAGTCTTGCTCTGTTGCCCCGGCTGGAGTGCAGTGGTGCAATCATAGCTCAGTGAAGCCTCTCACTCCTGGGCTCAAATGGTCCTCCTGCCTCAGCTTCCTGAATAAGGATATGTATTTCTTAAAAGTTAGTCTATCCACTTGAGATTTCATGTTTTCACTTGTAAGGACAACCTTTTCCCACAGTTTTCAATTTTTTTTTTTTGAGACAGAGTCTCAACTCTGTTGTCCAGGCTGGAGAGCAGTGGTGTGATCTTGGCTCACTGCAACCTCCACTTCCTGGATTCAAGCAATTCTCCTGCCTCAGCCTCCCGAGTAGCTGGAACTACAGGTGCCCACCACCACACCCAGGTAATTTTTTGTATTTTGGTAGAGACAGGGTTTCACCATGTCCTGCAGGCTGGTGGCAAACTCCTGAGCTCAGGCAGTCAGCCCGCCTCAGCCTCCCAAAGTGCTGGGATTACAGGCGTGAGCCACCACGCCTGGCCAATTTTTCCCCACTAGTTTCTACACTGATTGTTGAAAAATTGCTCAGTTATTTTAGAAATGATGAAAGGGTTAAGCATTGTTTACTTGAAGCAGGAGGGAAGCAGCACTGACTGAGTAAAATTCAATTGAGTAGTTATAGTGTAGGGCAGTGGTTCTCAGCTCTCCCATCAGAATCATCTAGGAAGCATTTTCAAACAGCAGAGCACTTTGAAAACCATTATTAAATAGAATTATGCATGAATTACTGTTTCACATCCTTTAATATAGTAGTTGGTGATAATATAAGATGAAATTCCTCTGTTGCTAGTAAAATTAAAGTAAAAGATGACTGAATTGAAGTTCTGCAGCCTGTCAGGCCAGGATTATTAGGGATATTCCTTGAAACCAGTATGTGTTCATTAAAAGAAGAAGGGATAACAATAGAATTATCTAAAGTGTGTGTCTATTTATGGGACCAATAAATAAAGAAAAGACATTTGATTTGAGCTGAGGTAAGAGCCTGAAACATGGAATGGCATTCTGTTTTGATAGATTTTCATTTCTTTGCACTTCTGAGATGGCAAAGCCAACCACTTACAAGGCTTCCACATCTTTCTCACCTGCCTGGCTCCTGCCTACTGATGTACCTCTGGGTAGTGGGATGGAAATGGTACCTGCAGAAGTTTGGGAGAAGGACAGTTTTGCACAGTCTCCATAACTTCTTTAATGCAAATATGGACGACGAGGGTCTCTGTTACAGGGCCTCAGAGCAGCTTTGTTTCTCCTCTAGACCAGGGACAGGAGGTATAGAGATAAAGACTGGCAACCAGAGCCTCAGCATCCAAAGATGGACTGAAGCGGGAGGGCCGACAGGAATTTCATACATACAATTTTAGTTTTGTGGGTAGGAGGGATTATCATCACACTGATTTATAATCTGACAATAAAATGTCTTTCATTAAACAGTTTACCTAAATGATGTTCAACTCTATGTATAACTTATAAAATATTAATAGATGTATAATTTGTTTATTCAGGTATATATATAATTTATTGAATACCTACTATGTCCCAGCATATCTACAAAACTGGCTACATACATATCTATGTAATTGCTAATCCACATTTCTAGCCTTACAAAGGACATAATGATTAGTTAAGCCCTAATTTAGATTTGAGGAAACTGAAGCTGAGAGAGGGTTAAATAAGTTACCCAAAGTACAGCTAGTAAGACCCAGAATCTCAATCTCACTCCTGGGGATCCTGTATATTTCCCTGAGTCTTCTAACAACACATGAAAATTCATATCTAAATCAACAAGTGACTGTAATATGGTACTATAAATACTAAACACTTCTTCATAACACTGTACCAGTTCAGCTTTTTTTTTTTTTGAGATGGAGTTTCACTCTTGTTACCCAGGCTGGAGTGCAATGATGTGATCTCAGCTCACCACAGCCTCCGCCTTGGGGGTTGAAGTGATTAGCGATTCTCGTGCCTCAGCCTCCTGAGTATCTGTAAATGCATCCACCACCACACCCAGCTACTTTTTTTTTTTTTAAGACGGAGTTTCGCTCTTGTTACCCAGGCTGGAGTGCAATGGTGCGATCTCGGCTCACCGCAACCTCCACCTCCTGGGTTCAGGCAATTCTTCTCCCTCAGCCTCCTGAGTAGCTGAGACTACAAGCATGCGCCACCATGTCCAGCTAATTTTTTGTATTTTTAGTAGAGACGGGGTTTCACCATGTTGACCAGGATGGTCTCTATCTCTTGACCTCGTGATCCACCCGCCTCAGCCTCCCAAAGTGCTGGGATTACAGGCGTGAGCCACCGCGCCCGGTCAGCTTTTAAATTTTATACTTTGCTTTCCTGTCCTTTGCCAACTCTTAACCTGGTTAATCTCAGTTCTGTCAACATTGGACCAGGCTCAGTAAATAAACAAGTGAATGGATTTCCAGCCTTTTTTTCCCATCTCTTCCTTCTTTCCATTTAGTCCTCTGAATCTGCTTCTTACCATTGCTTTATTTTACAGTCATTTTGTCAAACATAGAATACAGGATTATAAAAGCAAAGAAAGTGGGTCTGTGTTTAATTTTGATGTTTCAGATTTTGAGCTTTCAAGTCTTTGTGGACACCCTATGAAGTGTGTCTTCCTGTTCAGATGTGAAAGGTAAAGGCTGCAGCAGGTTTAAGGGCATCCCTTCCACCCACTGTGGCCCT